TTACTCAAGCTATAGTATTAAAGAATTTCATGTCCCTTATAATTTTGAAAATAACATAATAATCCAACCATTACTTAGGGTATGTTCTCTTTAATTTAGTTTCAGTCAATTCAGTTCAGTTTCAATAAGTTAAGTTCAGTTCAATTCATTTCTTATCTTAATTTTTTTTCTCTCATAAAATATTCAAGTCAGTTCAGCTCCAATAAGTTCATTTCATTTCAGCTTAGTTCAGTTCAGTTCAGCTCCAATAAGTTCATTTCATTTCAATTCAGCTCAGTTCAGTCTTGTTCCAATTGGTCTTGGTGATGATGACCAGTGCATTGAAGATGATTTTCGGCTTGGTATTGTCTGGAAATTTACTTCTTCGGTAATAATGAACTTGTAATTTGGTGAAAATATACTGAAGTATGTCAATTTCAGGAAGGAATTAGTCTGGCCAGAATTAGACCAGTTGCTTCGGGAATCGGGATGAGGATGACGAAGTTGGAGGAAGTGGCAAATAACCAAGCAAAGAATTCACCAAATACGACTATAAGGGCTCACAGTGATTCAGTGAAGAAGGAACTGAACAACCTTCATAACGGGCATGATGATGGTTGTGAATTTGCCTAAAAATTCATGTCGTCGTTCATGCCACTTTGTTTTTCAACGAATATTGTAATATTACAGCCTTTTTATGAAAAAAATGTAAATATATATATATATATATTTAAGTGTTTATATATCAATTTAAGTGAAAAAATGCAAAAAAAAAAAAAAAATTTATATTTTTTTTCCATTATTGGCACCGATTTTGAACAGGAACCGGTGCCAATAACCCCTTTAAAAAAGCGGGAAGTGTTAACCGGTGGCAAAAATATATTGCCGCCGATTTTGAACCAGTGGCTTTTTATACAAGTATTTCCACCCCCCCAAAGGCCCAGCGGTTCAAAACCGGTGGCATAGGGGGGTTTTGAACCGGTGGGGAATTGCAATTTTCTACTATTTACATTATTAACTGAGAATAAAGATTTACTCTTGTTAAAAGCAAAATAAATAAATAAATAAAGGTTCGCCAAATTATATTTGGTAATGTTTAATTGTAATCTAGTTGTAATTCCGCACGCGTTGCGAGCGGTTTCTCAAGTTATTGGTAATGTTTGTAAAATGTTAGGCCGTGATTGTTTGTTTTGTTTGTTATGATTAAGAGATCATGTTAGATATAATTTTCGGTTGTGGTATGTATGATATACATAAAAGGTTACAATTTTTTACTATAGAAATATGTGGGTTATTTGTACTAATGTATGACTTAATTAAAGTCATAACAAAGTATTAATAGTATTATGTGAATGTTTTATGTAGTGAAAGTGATTGTAAGGCAGATCATGTTTTTCCTTCATTTATGTAAAGCTTATAGTGACACAATTTTAGTTGATTTTTGTGAGGATTTATAAAGCACATTACATAAGACATGTCAAATAACTTTGCTAAAAAATCAGAGATCCTAAAAAGGGAGACAAAGAGCCCTCAATCTTCATAGGAACAACCAAATGATTAAACCTTAAGGAAGTGTGTACCAAGTGATCAAAGGAGAGAGTAAGCAACACCATAATTGAAAGGTGGAGCAGAATAATGAAAAATGGGGGAAAAGAGGTATTCAAACTAAATTAACAATTGCAATATACATGAATGATGATTAAAGATACTAATGAACAAACATTGGAACTCTTGCTGGTGGGTGTAGCTCCACAAAGGCTAATGGTAATACAAATTCTGGTGGATAGGGAACGGGTAAAGCTAATGTGAAAGGTAATTCCATCTGTTTTAGGGCGTAAAAGGGAAAAAGCTCGCAAGTATCTGCTTCGGAACATTCAAACAATAGTGACGAACTAAATATGAGGCCACGAGGGAACACTTAAATCTTCATTCAAGCTTCCCATCTTTCCTTGTTGATCTCTACACATAAAGCAAGAATCATCCAAATAAAAAAGTCACAAAACAGCAAAATAGAAGCAAATAAGCAAAACCCACATCATAAATCCGGGGGAAAAAACTCCAAAATAGGCACTAACATTCGGACACGAATATATCAACAAAAATATGATAAAATTCACCCTTTCTCTCATTAATTTGTTCTTCCCGAGCAAATAACTCTCATTACCTTCAATTCTCAATTTAATAACATCAATTTCTTGCAAGCTAATGATTAGCAACTTCTGCTTACCCCAACTAAGAATACATTCATGAGTTGTCATTTGTAACAGATAAAAACAAAGAGAGCATACAAAGCATAGACTCAGCAATGAGATGAAAAATATAGCCCAGAGTTACTTATTCAGCCCCTAAAAGTCAATCATATTATAAACATGCACCCACACAATTCAATCAAAATTTAAGTAGTAAATTGTAGTTAATAGTCTGTATAACTGAAGACACTTGAACAAAATTCTTGCGCAACAGTTCCAAGCTTTGATCCAGCAAATCACACAGATTATTTTGATAAATCAAGCTCCAGGTGAGCGCACTACAATCAAAGAAGAACAACAGGGGAAAATCAGAAAAAGTCAGTCATGTGGAATCAACATTTGATAATTTGATAAGAAAGCAGAACAAAACTAAAAAGAATAAAGGAAAACATGCACATAGAATAAACCTCGCAATCAATTGATAACTATAGAAGCAATGTACAACTATAAAGTATCAAAAGAATTAAGTTCAAATTAAAATTTCCATCTAAATCACAACCCCAAGCTATAATGGCAAAGTCACATGATATTGTACTGCAAATAAATGAACAATCAAAGAAAACTGAAAAGTAACAAAGTGATTCCACTTATCTAAAAATACACTTAAAGCAAATCATGACCTAAGGGATATTAAACAAAGTTGTAGACACAATTACAATCAACTCATTACATAAAAAGAATAATGATAAACCGTAAGTTTAAACCTTAAAATTAAGATTAAAGCAAAGCCTAAAATTGATTTCTTTTTTTGACGAGAAAAAAAAAATCAATTTTAGGCTTTGCTTTAATCTTAATTTTGAGGTTTAAACTTTGGAATATTGATCTTTGGAATATTACCGCAAACCTAACACGTTATAAGACAAAATTTGACAAATAGAAACCATAGCTCAGAGTGGTACAATTAAGGCTTAGTTATCAATGAAAATCACCTTAATTGCAACCTGAAGTCAACAAACAACCTAAGCTAATTCTTACTCAAGTTTAGCCATTGTTATAAGTTTCATATTGGAGACATAATCTGTAGATATATTGTAACTCTTTGCTCTTCATGCATCCTAAAATACAAAGTAAACCAAACAACCAAACACTCACGCAATAAAGTAGCAGTCTTACTAATCCCAACCTCATAACTTCACAATAAAATTCTCTAAATAAGACAACCCATCTTTAGTCAAGCTTCCTAGCTGCAGCCAGTTAGCCAACCCAATCAAACCCGACCTATAGTAGAAGTAATACTGTGACATCAGAATGGGGCGTAAACATCTCCTTGTCTCCTAACAGCAAACTCTAAAAAAAGGGAAAAAAAAAAAAAAAAAAAAAAAAAAAAAAAAAAAAAAACAATCAGAAACCATTGATCCTATTACACCCTAAACCCAAAAAATCTAAATTCTCACTTTAAAAAGGGAAAAAAAAAATCAATAGGGAAGGATGGAGAAAGGGGAAGAAGGGAGATGAAAGAGATTGAAATTGGGAAAGAAAAGAGATGAGAAACTTACAGAACCATGCAGAGAAGAATTTCAGCAACATAAAGCAGTTTGAATGTAAGAGCTACCTTTCTGCAAAGTTGTGAGCTCTAACTTTAGCACCCAGCAATATGTTATCACTCTCTGCCTATTCTCTGGAACAGAATATATCAACCAGACAACCACAATTAATACGCTTTCAGATAATTAACTAAGATAACACCTACCTTTGCAAATGTAATCAAAGGTACTTTGCTAGTGACATTTGCAGCATTGCTTTCTACCCAGACCTCCAGCACTACCAACACCAATATGGGCATCGACATTGATCTTAATAGACCCAGCTTGAGGGCAGTGCCACTTGGAAACAACAGCAGGTTTATGGTAGCTCAAAGGTTTGAAAACCTTGCTCGCATATGAGAAATATTCCTGCACCATTCTTATATAGCCGTCAGCAACCACACGCACATCAGTACGAATGTTCTCATGCACCCTTCGGTTTCTGCAGAACCAAACAGCCCAAGCAATAGTCATTATTCTTCTGAGCACACTTCTGTCAACCCTGTTGTCCATCCAAAGCACTGAAAGCAGCCACTCAGTAAAATTTGTTTGTCTCAGAGAGTCTGTAATAATTTCAGACAGATCATACTTCACCCAAACATGCTGTACCTCCAGGCAATCAAAGAGGGTGTGGGCAATTGACTCCACCTCAGTCCCACAGCCCCCCATATGTATCATCCTGAGCAATGTGGCGCCTGAATAGTTCTTGCTTGACAGCCATGCTACCTTTACAAGCCTTAACAAGCCTTGATATAACTAGCTAATCGTAAAGTATTTGTTTACCCTGGAATTTCATTAGTTTAGGCAAATACGGAATAACAGCTAAAATAATATTTCCTGCTTCGTATCAATATTTTAGAAAGATAATATAAAATTTGCAGCTATTAGATAATAATAATAATAATAATAATAATAATAATAATAATAATAATAATAATAATAATAATAATAATAATAATAATAATAATAATAATAATAATAATAATAATAATAATAATAATAATAATAATAATAATAATAATAATAATAATAATAATAATAATAATAATAATAATAATAATAATAATAATAATAATAATAATAATAATAATAATAATAATAATAATAATAATAATAATAATAATAATAATAATAATAATAATAATAATAATAATAATAATAATAATAATAATAATAATAATAATAATAAAAGAAGATCTGCTCATTCAATCAGATAAATGGAAATTAAATCTAATATAGTATACTTGATACTATTATACGAACTAGCTAATCATAAAGTATTGATAGTATGTGGTAGATGTAAGGTAATAGACATATATGACTTGACTATTTGCATGCAAGTTTTTTTTTTTTTTTTTTTTTTTTTTTCCGGTTGTTGTTGTTGTTGGTGGTACTACTACAAGGAGTTTCCCAAGGCTTCATCCCAAGACCTTGGTTAAGGAGCAAGAGGCCCTTAACCACTCATGCTAACATCAGTTGGTTGCATGCAAGTCAATTTAAACAGAGAACTGCACCATTATATAAATGAATCATAAATCAGAATCGAATAGAGTAAAACTTCAATGGAAAGAATTAAGATGCTGGCACAAAATTGAATGCTAAATCAGCTATGTATATTGACTGAATGAACCATATGATAGACAGAACATATATGTATACCTCTAATTGAAATTTGTAAAAATTTGACAAAATTTCCCTTATATATGTACTGTACTTAAGATTTGATTTGATCTGGTCTTACTGTATCAGTTGATCAAGCTAAAAGACTAGTCTACAAATCAGTACTCAGCACAGTACCAACAGAAACAACAGCACCAGAGAAATCATCCTGAGTCATGAAAAGAAAGGGATTATCAGCCACAAATTTCTGCTCTGAAGGTGTTGTTGCTGGAAAACGATGTGCAGGGCCATTGAGAGTTGTGTAAGTCACAACAGAAAAAGATGTTCCCCTCGCATTAGTTTCAATTCGAGTCTTCTGGGTAACATCTGTGACATACAATAGTTCCGAAAGAGGAGAGTCAATAAACCTTATGAGCTCATTCTTGCCTGCCTGAAATGGTAATGTCAAGCCTAAATGTTGCATTTTACTTGACAATGACATCTCACTTTCAATGTTGAAAGTTGGGAATGAAAAATCTGAGATTTCCTTTTTATGTCTATTGACCTTCTTCTGGAAATCTTTTGTGCCCATTTTCATTTCTTCTAAGAATTGTGAGAGGCTTATCTTTCTTCTTCCAACAAGAGATCTCCCATTGGAAAGGTCAGTTTTCTCCGATGGAACAAGGATGTAAATTGAGAAGCTTCGAGGATCTTGTTCTGCTATCTTTTTGCCTCCTTTTATTGGCATTCTAAGAACCTCAGAACCCTCAAACTCTCCACAATAATACAGTGAGCGTTGCGCTCCTGAAGGATCCATTAATGTTTCATCTGAATTCTCCAACTCAAAGTGTAATGCATTCGCCAAAATCACAATCGTGTCATTGTAGTACAAGGTTTCTGGCAGAATAGTTTCGACCATCCCTTCAGTTTTTGTCCTGCTCCATGAGTTGACTTCTTCCTTCGCTTCTTCAGCCTTCAAAACACAGGTGCAGTAACATTAATCAGGAATTCAGCATTCCATATGAGTGCAATTCATACATTTACAATATAATTTACTAGAACCAAGTATTAAGATGAGTAAATGTGTGCATTGGAGACTGAAACAGAAAGTTTGGTATGCGTACATTGTACAACAAATCAACACTCTTAACATCAGCATCATGGACATTTTCAAGCAGCTCCTTATATGACTGAATTAGTGGACATTGTTGGTCAACCCAAACGCTATTACTGAACGAGATACTAAGCCCATCTCCACCCTTGAATGGCCTTACAACATCAAGGAGCTTCATGGAAGACTTGTTCAATTCCTTCTCTTTCAAACAAAACAAATCAACAAATTGATCACGGGTTAGTCCTGTGAATCCTGGAATTAGCATGTTTAAAACAGCACTTGTCGAGACAGGAGAGCAGAAAAGGTTCTCTTGAGGTGTCTTATTTGAGCCATCTAGCAAGATGTGCCTTGCTACATTGAAACTGAAATTTTTTTTGCAGTTCTTGCTCGAATCTTTAGGAGATATGCTAGGCAAGTCGACAGTGAAGTTGCATTTGCTATGTTTGGTGTAATAGAGCTCCTGCTGCTGCCAAACTGAACGCGTAGCAAATGTCCCCTGCAGTATTTGGTAACATGATGAACATCTAGAATCTAGAAAAGCCATAGACAATGCAACAAGTTTATGCAACGAGTTTAGAGCCCTGCACATTAACCATATAGCCAATGCATTCGCCAGCCATTGAAATAAAAGCCATTTCTACCACCATTCATCCATAGAAAAAGATAAGATTAATAATTCTCATGACCGAATTATATGGTTATGTCAAAGACGGCGCCATGGCCTTAGATTACTCCAACTACTCAACTAGTATCATGAAAGGGAAACTGTCTTTTTTTTCTTGTCAATCTAGAAACAAAAGAATTGAAATGGCAAATTATAACTATAGTACTGGATTAATTTATTGTAAACCACTTATGCTCATTAACCATGAACTTAGAGCTCAGTCAAATATGTTTCTGCTATAATCTGTTATGATCGAATCCATCTACAAAGAATATTATTGGGAATGTGTCATTTGACATTTAAGCCATAACTCTTCCAACAGTATATACATATGACTAATCGACTATGTATGTTACTCGAACTCGTATACCCATATTTAACACGGGTATGTGTCCAAGTGTTTGACTCAAGTAATTTTTGAAGATTTTTCTAGATACCCACATAATTTACAGAATCTTAGCTAAAAAAACAACAATTCCAAGTCACATTATGTAATCACTGTTAATTTATTAATACCAAGTTCATCCGAAAGAAGCAACAAATTCCCATAATTCAAGATTGCATATAAAATTCAAGAGGACTCAACAAATACTCTGCTTATCATAATTTCATCATGCATTATAAAACCCAGAAAATTGATCACATTACTAACAATATTCATACTAAAATCAAGTGCATTAAAAAAATTTATCAAAATTAATGATTCCTTATCTATACATTATGAAAGAAATAACGCTCATCAAAGTCTGACCTCGAAACAATAATACAACAAATATCATTAGATTTAAGTAGAAAGAAAGGCTTACATAAAACTTGGCATTGTAATTATTTCTGAAAATTTCGCTTGAATTTCGGAGAAGAGATAAAAGAGGAGAAGTGCTCAAAACTCTTGCAAAAGACAGAATCATTCTTGAGGAAGTTGTTCGAGAAAGTGCTAATTGCTGCATAATTGGGTTGAGTTCGCTTAATTATTTCAAGGTTTTCTTCTTCCCCAATCCACTTTGTGTTCCTATATTTTTTGCTCTCTCTCCTTCTAATTCGGTGGAAATTTTTTTAATTTTTAATTTTTACTAAATTTCAATCTATCACGAGTTATTGAAATTTAACATCAATTTTTTATTTGGATGTTTTTGGGCCCCTAAGGTGCGTTTGAAATTTGTTGAATTGAACTGAATTAAACTGAAATTTGCTGATTGAAACTGAGGTCTATTCACATTTACTTAATTTCAGTTCAGCTCCAATCAGTTCAGTTCAGCTCTTAATTTCCCTCTCACATTAAATATTCATTTAAGCTCAATTCAGATCAGATCAGTTCAGTTCAGCTCACTTCAGTAAATGTGAACATACCCTAAATTGAATTAAACTAAGATATAGTGTACAAAAGAACTAAGCACAACTGAATTGAACTGAAATTTGCTGGATTGAATTAATATAAAATGAAAATAAGTCGAAAAGAACAAGGACTAACTTTGTCTTATCTTATCTGATCTTATTAAAACTTTCTAGATCTTACAATATCTTATTAAAACTTATTTTGTGAGGGAGATATGAGCGATATGATCTTAATAGTAATGTTCAGCTTTTCCGAATCATTCTAAGCATTTATGATTTTTATTTCCTTTTCTTGAGGTTTAATGATTTACAATTTGATCTAATTTAATTTTATTTTATTTTTGTTTTTATTATTATGACTAGTTTTATGACGCATGCAATGTGTGCATACTTTCCTTTATTTTTATTTTACTGTTTTTTGTTTCCTTTTATCCCCTTTTTTTTTGCCTTTTTTTTTTCTTTCTATAATCGAGAAATTCCATGTTAATTTCTTCAAAAAAGAAATTCCATGTTAATAAGTCTAAGTAAAGAGTAAGTACAATCAGGGGTAAAAATCGTAAATATCTTGGTATAATAAGGGTAATTAGGTAATTTTAAGCTGATTTGGAAAAATGGATGGGGAAATGGATCATTAGAGAATTTCACAGTGTGTGTAAGCAAAAAGTGGATAGCCTATTATATACTCCCGGATGCACATAACAAATTCTACAAAAAGTGGTCGTTACTGTGAGGTTTTCCTTTTCTCTTTCTGAAACAATTCCTAACCTCAATTTTTGAGTTCGAGAATTCGAAAATTAGTGGTCGTCGTGATTGATGTTCGAGCATCTACGTTGAAAAATTCCAATGCCAGTTCACATCGGCGTTGTCTATGAATGAGGCTAGTGATATTGTTTTCAACGAACACGAATTTAATTTTAAATTGGTGAATTTGGAAGACATTTTTGTTTATGAACTTGGAATGCATTTTGGAATTTTCTGGGTAGTAATTATGCCCAATTGATAAAATGGTATCGATTAAATCTCAAATCAGTTGTAATTCCATTGAGGTTAGTGATTTTACAACAACTACTCACAATAAACAGAGTACTTTTACCTTCCCCTCAAAAAAAAAAAAAGAGTAATTTTTCCTCAATTAATCCTTAATTAATTACGTATTCACGAAAAAATTACTATACCTGGCAATAATAAATGGCGTATACTGGACTTTCTTAGAGCAACTCTAATGGCAAACTAATTGTCGAATTAGCTTGCCATGCCACATAAGCTAATTGTCATTTTAGCTAATTTGAGCTTCAATGGCTAGTTATTAGCTTACTATTTAAATTAACCACATCTCCTTAATTTATGTTTTTTTACTTTCATTTTATTTATTCTAATTTGTTTTATCTTAGCAAGTTTTTCAGCTTGACCAAGCTAATTGCATTTTCTAACTCCAATGGTCAAGCTAGTAGCTAGAGATTATTTAACATTGCAAACAAGTTCTAGCTACAATCATTGGAGTTGCTTTATCATCTTAAATTCTTAATGGTGTTCTTTTGCTACTCCACTCATCTATCACACTCATGGAGGAAACAAGAGTGTGGGTGTAGATTAAAAAAAACCATAAAAGCTTTAACTTTGGTAAAGGCGGGCAACAACTTTATTACCGCCCGTCAAATGTACCGTTACGTCCTTTACAACCCGTACAAAGCAATATAATATTAATAACACTTCCTATAGCAAAGCAGGGCCCACAAGAGTCCTAATTTATATTTTTATGTAAATCAAACTGATGAACCAGGGCACCCTTTTCTCTAATCTAATGAATTGATTGATTGAAATTTAGTTGTAAAGAGAGGGGTAGTTTGATCCAATGAAATTCATGCACTAAAACTTCCCTCTTGGCTTTAAATATAGAGATAGTATTAGGTTGGATGTGCATACAATGTGTGCATAGAATATGATTTTCATTAGAAAATTATAATGTATGTGTCTGTGAATGATGTAAATAAATAATAAATAAAAATACAGAGTATAGTCATGACAAGTGAAATTTTTTCTGTGCAGGCGGATGCACCATGCTTGGTGCATCCGCGTGTTCATTAAAAAAAGGCGAAATGAACATTTAGCTATTCAGTAACGAACATATAGTTGTTTTGTAAAGAACATATATCTATTTTATAAAAAACATCCAGTTTTATATGTTTTTTTGTAAATCTAAAGAACATTTGTAATATTAGTAAAGAACATGATAATACTAAAGAACATTATTCATATAGTAAATGTACATTTGGTATAAATGATCATGTATGTATATGAAATGTACATTTTACTTATTATAATGTACATTGTATTATATTCTAATGAACATATATGTTATAATGTTGGTTACATGTTTTATGTATATTGTATTATTTGCATCATATAAGTATATGAAAAAAGAACATTTTACTGTATTTTAATGTACACTTGTATTATTTGGATCTACAACTTTTTCTAAATTTGTCTATTTGCTTGCTTTCTTCTTCCAAAATATATTAATCGGTTGATCTTCTTCAAGAATTTCATTTTATTTCTCATTGCAACAACAAAATTATATAAAAATCGCAATTAATTTTCAATAAAATCAAATATTACAATTTTCAATCAAATTTATAAAAACAAACACTCAAACTCAAAATAAACAAGTATGAATGTCAAATAAACAAGTATAAATGTCGAATTTGGTCTAACCTTTCGTTTTTATTTGTCATCTTGAACAATTTTGGGCTCAAAATTTCGAATTTCTTGAAATTTTGTTTGAAGTTTTGTTTGGAGAGAGAAAGTGACTTTTGGTAAAAAAAAAAATTGAAATGATTTGTAATTAATGTATGGTAAAAAAAAATAATTATAGTACTATTTATCTATTTCATTATACAAAATTTCTTTTAAAAAATATATATATATATACAAAATTGTTGCATAAAAAACTGATGTACATTATAAATGAACACTATGTTCTTGTATGTATATGTCCATGTACATTATAAATGACTACTATGTTCTTTTATATGACCATGTTTATTAGTATATATCTGAATGTTCATTCCGCCTTTTTGTATTTTGGAGCGGATGCACCATGTGGATCGTGCATCCGCCTCCACGAACCAACTATTACATGACAAGACTTGAATTTAGGGTCATCCCAAAGTTTACGGAGGTGTGCGATTAAAAATAAATGGGGCCCTCATTCAATTTATATTATTCCGTATTAAATTGTGGATGATGTATCTGTTTGTTAAAGTTTTAAAAGGTTGATACTAAAAGAATAAGATCAAACCTTTTCTCGCTTTTTTTGGATCTTATTAGTCTAGAAAATAGGATTGATTAACCCTTAGCGCATAGCTCCTATTGATTTAGCAAACATATAGGATGAAAAATGTACCATTACATGTATAATAGGTGGCAGGTGGTAAGTATTTTGGGGGAAAGTATTCAACCTATAAGATGGTAAAAAGTACCACTAAATGCATAATAGTACACAAAAAATAATATTCAGACAGCTTATATATTAATAGTACATTATACATACGTAATGGTACATTAAAATGAACCACTGTAGAGTCAGCTTCTTCCAAAAGCTTGCCAAATTTACATTTTTGCTCTCATATATGTTTACAAAACATATAGGAGCTATGCGCTAAGATGCACTCAATAGGATTTTTTTTTTTTTTTTAATTTCCTTATGTATACTTTTAGCTGATATCTTTTCTTTGAGTTTGATTCAATGTATTTGTTAGATGTGTATGATTTTGGAGTGTTGTTTATTGGTGATCAGATAGTAGGATGAAGAATTTTTAAAGCTTAGCATACATTTATTATTGTGTCATGTATGGATAAGTAAACTAAGTGTACCACAAAAAAAAAAAAAAAAAAAAAAAAAAGAAGAAGTTTAAAAGTTCATGTAATGACGTTCACGTTTAATCATTATCAATTTTTTCATTTATTGTAAGATAAATATTTTTAAAGAATTTTAAATTCGAGCTAATAAGTTTAAGTTTAGATAAGATATACATACATTACAAGTTCATATTATTTCTAGTAAAATTCGGTTGGGGTCAATAACAAGTCGGGTTGATTTCGGATCGGGTTTGTAACAGGTCGGGTTGAATTTCAAGTCGGGTTAAATTCGGATCGGGTTAGGAACAAGTCGGGTTGAATTCAGGTCGGGTTAAATTTGGGTTTTGACGGGTTAAAACAGGTTTGGATCAATTTCGGTTCGGGTTGGGTTCGGTTCAATCAATAATTTACGGGTTCCATTTGAGTCGGGTCATCTCCAGGTCAGTTCATGTTCGGGTCTCAATTACTCGGGTCAACTCGGGTCTAGGGTTGGTCTCAGGTCGGGTCACCAGTTTTTCAAGTTCAGACGGGTCGGTTAATAATCGGGTTCAGGTTAGCTTTTGACAGCTCTAGTTAATAGCTAGGAACTTCACAAAATTGAGAGCAAGTTCACAACTATACCATCGGAAATGTTTTTATATACTTTTTCCGTAACAAAATACTCCGCATATCTCTCGTTAAAAAAAAAAAAAAAAAAAACTCCGTAGATCTTACACTTTGATAATAAATATGAGCGATATTTTATTAAAGTGTAACATCTATTTCGTTACGGAGGAATTATAAAGATTTACATAGATTTTTTTTTTATTTGAAAGAATAAATATTTACATAGCTGAATAGAGTGTATAAGATAGCAAAGCACAGATAGAGAGGGGTGATCAGTATGTTTGAAGCTAAAGATTTAGCGCATATGCATTTAAATATGATAATTTATAAATTTGCATGTTTGAAGCGATTTACCTCGTACACATTTTAATCTGATAACTAGACACATAGTTGATAGTTGGCTTAGATCTTTCTTATAAGAGGTTGGATGTTCAAATCCCCTTACCATCATCTTTTTATATGAAGCAATATCGACTGACGTGGCATAATGATTCAGGTTGATTGAGTAGTGATGATATGACATAATGAGAGATGGAGTAGGTGACGTTGCGTGGTCTACGTGACACAGAGACATTCTTAGTAACACCTTTTAATAGATTGAACTAGAGTGTGGTTCGGCCGATGCCCCGAGTTGCTAGTTTGTAATTAACGTTCGATTAATTTTTGCTAAATGTATTGAAAATCATCTTCAAAATTTGAAAAAAGATTTGTATCCTATGATATGTAATCAATAGTACAATTAAGGACTAATCATATTATCCAAGTTAATTATAATTTGTTGATAAATTCACACAATATATGGATAGCTAAGACGGTAAGACTGACATCGTAATACTTGTTTGTTTCAAGTTCAAGTCTTGCTATAAGCATTTTTTAGATGTCAAATCTAGAGGTGTCAGTTCGGATAATCGAATTGGGTCTGATATGGTCGGGTAAATTTCTAGTCAAATCTAATTCGTGTTGTGAAGGTGACAATGTGACATGACATATTTATAGTGTTTAAAGACATAACATGTTGCATATATTGATGATTTAGCACGTTTATAGAGCTTAAAAGGGTGACACGTGACACATATTCTGCTTTAGAAACGCTTTTTAATATATAGGTATAGATAGATTTGCAAATAAAAACTTAATACTTCATATTAAATTTCCCCTGTTTAAAAACATTACTATGGTAAATTGGTAATACTTGAAAAAACTATAAATAAATTTCTCATTATCAGAGTACAATACTTATAAGAAAACTCTAGAGAGTACTAGGAACTAACATAAAAAACCAATTACATAGTATTTAACAACTCATCAACATACTCATAAACATGAAAATGTCATACTGTCATTTACATTACTTTCTATAATTACACCAATAAACTAAGCTAATATTAAGTCTCCATTATTAAACCTTACCCATAAGCGAAGCTTTAAGAGGGCTTGTTGGTTCACATATTTTTGTGGCTTCTGACAATTCATTAGATTGCATCTTGTAAACCTTTAGAACATTCAATAATCCTCCAATGAACATCAAAAAAACTTCCGACTATGCCCAACCATATGAATACAATTTTAGCCTACATAAAATATCCAAGACCAAAATATTAGTCCAAACATCAGCATACATCAACGATTATTCAAGAAATATCATAACAAGTTTAAAATGAACATATATACAATATCCTCAATGAGATTGGTAAAAGTTGTTTTCAAATTGTTAGAATGGCATAAGTTCCTTTTGCAAAACACAATGTTACGCTATATTCTCTAAAGCCGATTTGGTCAGCTTACTAATCGTAGTAAGTTCGATATATACAATATACCAAAGACATCTTTCTTTGAATGGAAAAATTAAGAAATAGCATTAAGATGATCTCAAAGCACACAAATAGAATTGATGTTATTAAATCGAAAATTTAACTTGAATGCAAATGAAGAGGATGCTCAGGAAGGACAAGACCAAACCAAAAAGTTGAATCATACAAACGAAGATATCAAACTCATTCTTTGTTCCGGCAAGGCAAAGTATAAATAAAATTGATGTTAAATAGAAAACTAAACCATGTATAAATAAAATTAAATTGTTCTTAAAAAAAAAAAAAATATGTTAAATTGAAACCTAACCATGTATAAACAAAATTGATGTTAAATTGGAAACTTAACCTGAATGATAATGGAGAGGATGCTTAAGAAGGACAAAAGCGAACCAAAACATTGAAGACTACCAACAAACATATCAAACTCAATCTTTCCTTGAAGGCGAAGTATGAAACCACGTAAATTGACAATTGTGATGAAGAAAAATCCAGCCGCAACAAGTATAAGTCCAGATGTCTGCTGAGATGAGAACTGGGCTGTAAAACCCAATATTAGCATAACAGTAGCCAACAGGTAAATCACATTATCCATGAGCTCTGAACGAACCCTCGTATCCATCCTGCTATCATCAAATACATCTATTATTAATCAACCTCAGTGAATGAAACACATATAATATTAAGCTAATCGAAATTTAAAACCCTAGAATTTTCTTTTTTTTTTTTTTTTGGTGAAGGAATACCCAAGAAATTATAGACGAATTGCAAACAAAATTCGCAAAACCAGTGCTTAAACAAACAAACGATATATTCAAATGTTTAAAATTCAGATGTTGAAAAAAAAAAAAAAAAAACAGATCTTTAAAATTGAAAACGGAAATTAACAAGATTAGGAAAAAAAATAAAAATTCAAACGAAGATCTTAAATATAATTAAAAAAATCAAAAAGGAAATACAGAAACAAATTGAAAAAAAACACAAAATTTACCTTAGAATACTCCCTTGAATTGATTCACCCATTTAAAGCCGCTTCAATGGAGAAGAGAGAAAGAGAAGTACGGTTGAAAGAGAACGGAAGACAGAGAAAGTGGATGTGCTGTTGTTCGGTAGTTTTACTAGTTTATCTCAGTTTCCCTAATTTCTCCCTCAAATATGAGTATAGTTTATTAAATACGTGTTCCCATTTTGCCCCTGATTTGTGCAAAGACGTTTTTGCCCTTACTTCCTTTTGTCTCCTTTTCTCTTTCTTCCTTTGTCTGGCATTCTTCACATAATAAAGTCTGGAATGGTTGACAAATTGTCTGATTTAAATTTTAGATGAATAAAATTGCTTATAAAGAGGGACATAGTATACTGTTTAATTAGAGAACAAGCTTTTTCTTGGCGCTGCTATCATATGCCAAAGGTACAAGATTGAGTTCTCTGATTATGTCAGATTTATGTGGTCGTTTATTCTATTTATTACGTACCAAATTGTCAAATCTGTGGTCTTAAAGACTTATGTTTGTATCATACCAAATTGTCAAATTGAGCTCTCTGATTACATGCTTTCATCCTTTCATTATTTTGCTGGTTTCACAGATAATTATTTTATTATGCTATGGGTGTGCTTATTGTGAGTTTACTAGCATAGATACTAATTTACAACTTCTTGCTTGGACAATTTTGTGAGAACATCCCTTGCTAAGTAAGCATCTGGTCAGAAAGAAACTGTTGACTTTTAGATATCTTAAGCTGTCATATTTCTGTTAAATCAGAGCTTAATACTTTACTGGTTTGGACGTGTGGTAGTGCCTGTTACTCACCCTATTCCTTTTTGAATTGACAGAGATCTAAGCCAAGGTCTCAAACCTCTTGGCGGTTTAGATTATGATTTTGCTGTTGTTATAATCTAAAATCATAAACATTGCAAAACTGTTCAATATATTCAGTTTTATACTGAGTGAGTTTTTGTAATTTCTGCTTGGTTTATTTGTCTTACGAATTCATTTTTACAGCTTATTCGAATTTTATAACAATATCAATCCGATTACATGCGTTGTATACTGTTCAGTCTTCAGTTACTTTTCAATTAACGTGCAATGCCTAATTGCCTATATATATGCACTTGGAACAAGATCACTAATTTATAAATGACTGAGTTATTTGTGTTCATACACGTGGAGGAGTAAATTTAAATGATTCATTAATGAAAATGTCAAAGCTTAAGCTATTCTAATCAAGCATTTGGATGATAACAAATATAATGTGGGATAGGCTTTTGTCTTCAGACTATCAACCCAGCTTGATGAATCCTCCCAAGGACGCAGTTATTGCAGGAAAACAGGACGAGGTAATATGATCCAAGTCTTCTGCTGAAGAGTCAAATGAGAACGAAAATTTTGTCTAGAAAATGTTGCGCATTGTTCATGGCTTACCACTGGTTGGTTATTGTTTCAAACATCATTTTTCTTAGCTCTCTTGAAGATATGTTAGGTTAAAAACTATTACAAGTTGCCTCTTCCATTTTCAGAATGAGCCTCTTTTAGACTTCGATATGTTCCTCTCTCTTTGCAAGAAGCACAGATCATGACAAATGTCCATTGGAGTAATAAAGCCTTACATACAATAGCTGCTTTGCCAATATGCATTAAACTGCTACAGGAATTTGCTTTTGAATTGATCAGTTTGCCCTTTTGTGTACTTTAATTCTTTATTTTTTAACATTCAAGGATAGGATATGGGCATATGTCTACTCGTCTTTAGTGGAGTCAGTTTAAAAATTATTTAGTTTTTAAAGGATTGTTCAAAGTTCATGAATACTATTAAGTGGAAAAATTATGTCTTGGGTGAGATCGTTTCACACTAATTTATTGTGAGACATGTAAGTCACAAAAAAAAAGGTAGCAAATTGTTTAGAGATGCTCACTAGTTAGCGTTTGCCAGAAGGCCCGGCAATCTTTGATAGCTATGTCAACGGTCAGCAATCTCAGTATCAATGAACAGCGGATCTACTCATTCACTGCTAGAGTAAAATAGTTTTTTTTTTTTTTTAGATCCTGCAAAGTAACATTCTTTAAAGGAACAAAGGAGATGCATAATAATCAGTCACCTTGGATTTGTCATACATTAATATTTGTCTAATAATAGGGGATGCCCCTGTCAAAAAAAAAAAAAAAAAAGGGGATGCCATAATTCTTATATATATATTTTCATGGACTAAATGGCCTAAATTTCAAGGGAGATTTTATTTATATATTGAATTCTCTCTTATTTTGGTGAGTGTATGTCTGTATGTCATGTTTTTAGCCTTTACAATGCGGTTGCATCATAAAAAGGAGAGTATAATATTATTTGCTTTCGAACCTTTGCTCATAGTCACTGATTTATTGGTATAAGTAGATAAAATCATCTTAAACAAGAAATAAAGGTTTATAATTCTTGAACAGAAATATTATCTTGAGGTCTTCTGATTAGATTTATCTTTGCTGCAGCATGTTGAGGTTTTTGTTCTTGATCCAAAGACTGATAAGGTAGTGGTAAAGATTGAGGCAGCAACTCTGAATCTGATTGATTTAAAGATACAAAGCGTATTCTTTGGCCCTTCTTACCGTGCAAGTTCCCAAAAATGCTTGGTATGTCTTACACTCATACTGGCAATACCGCTGTAGTTTTTTTACTCTCTTCACATGAGCAGCTTAATCATCATCTTTTGTAATCTGAAATTTGTGAATGTGTGAATTAAGGTTGCACTTATCTTTTCTTGTTGAGCATGAAGTTACTGCACCTATAAACCCCGAGATTTTGGGTTTGTTCAGCACTTATCCACTGCAGGGGTTTACCCCACTCCTCCCCTCCTGCCGATTCATAAACTTTTAAAGAATTTACAGTTCTGTGTTTTCACTTGACAAATACGAGTAGTTTTGTTTATCCGCCCTCTGGCCCCTTCCTTTTTCCCGTGAGAAAGCTGTGGATGGTGGGATCTGTGCCTTTAGAAATGGTGGGTTTTTATTACAGGCATACCTTGAAATACTGGCCACAAATCCTATTTCAGAATTTTCTATATTCCATGAACACTTTGCCAGGCTTTTGGTAAAAGAATTCTGCCTGTAAATGACAAAACTTTTCTAATGTGGCTCTTCTATTCTTTGGATGAAAATAATTTATAGAGATTTATAACCTGTACTATGCTTGCATAATGAATTCTTAAGAGGTTAGCATCAACGAGCAAGTCACGAAAGGAGAATGATCCCAAATTCCTCTCACATTTGAGCATGAGAAAATAGCATGAATAATGCTTTCCTCATCACAATTACACAGTTCACACCAACCTTTGCCACGAATATGTCGCCTATGCAATCTCTCAAGTGTTGCCAGGAATCCCATACACGCTTTCCATAAAAAATTGCGCAACTTTGGTGGACCATTAACACTCCAAATCACCTTCCATACTGCATTGCTAGCCCCTCCAAATTGTGATTTCCACCCTCGAATGTGCCCCAAACACCCAAGCCCAATAGCCAGATTTTGTGGTATAAAGCCCATCAACAGAAAGACCCAAAACCACACATCTTTCACAGCTCTAACACTCAAAGGCAGACTATGCACAGCAGCAGCATCCTCAACCAGAAGGTGTTGAGACAGAGCCTCATTACACCAGCCCCCATTAATTTCATCAATCAACTCAGCCACTTTATGATCAGCTGGGCTCTCGATATTTGGGTAGGAACACGGCTCACATTTTCCCACGGCAACCATGCATCATCCCACACACTGATATCCATCCCATCCCCAACTCTCCATTTTAAACCATCCAATAGAAGAGCTTTCGCCCCCCAAATACTCCTCCAAACGTAGCTCAGGTCGTAGCCCCTATTAGCCGAGATAAAATCACCATTCTTGAAGTATCTCGCGTTTAGGACTTGGTGCACGATAGAGTCGGGATTATGAAGTAGCCTCCACCCTTGCTTAGCCAATAATGCTTGGTTAAAAGTCCCCAAATTGCGAAACCCCATCCCACCAAGAGACTTGGGAAGGTACAATGACATCAGGTTGGAAAGATCTGATTAGAGCATGACATCAGGTTGAGAAGCTCTACAAGTTTAGATAAACCTTGAGAGTGTTTTCTTGAGGATGTTAAAGTTCTCACTTTTCCTCCTTTTATATACTGTACAAAACCAGTACAAACAACGCCATCAAATGTTCTGATGAAACGAAAAAAAAACACCATGAAAGGGACAACATTACTTAAGGCCTTGAGAGCAATGATGCACGGGTACGCCGCTGGAGTGCCGTCTCCCGTACCCGAAACGTATCGGGGACGGGTACGCCTAGGATACGTCCCCAAACCGTCCCCTTCAAAAGTTGAGAGAAAGGAAAGGTTGGACTGGACAGCAACAACAATATAATCTTCCCTCTCCTCTTTAACAGATAATTCAACTCTACCCTTCTTTCTTCATCTGATTATTATCACGCTTACTTCTCACATTCAAGGTTTGTCATTCCTTATAGATTATATTTCTTTTGTGAATTAATGCTGTAATTTACCTTTGTTGGATGAATGTTGTTTTTGGCATTTAAATTATTGATGATTTGAACTGGAGTTTCATTTTCCTAAATTCTGCTTCAGCTATAGTCAATATCAGATTATACTGTTGGTATTGTTGATTAGCTGTGATTAATCTGATTATTGATATTTGTGTTGATTTTAGTGTGCAATGACAGAATGTCCTGTAATATGTCGGTATTGCAAAAGAAGCCACTTTTTTTTTTTCTTAATATGTATTGGTATGGCATAATTTGGGTTGATTGTATTTGTTTTTGAGCTTGATGTCCATGTTCGAATTCTTTGTTTACACTCTTTAATTAAGAAAGGTTTTAATTATGAAAGGTATTATGTAGCGTGGTGATTGTATTTCTTTTAGGATTGTTGTACATTTTAAATTTTGATGGGTGAAATGTGCCTTAATAAATAGGTATATTATATGCATAGTAATAAAATTAGAAGTGGAATAAGAATGTATGATTGGTTGTTTTGAAATTTGAATAGTAGACATCTAGAATTACCATTTGTGTTTGGCCTCTTACAGGCCCAAAAAAGGGTATGTTATAACTTGTGTTCTCCTTGTTATTTGCAAAAGATTCAGATATGTTAGTTTTGTTCCTT